TTTGTATACTTCGTATATAAAAATTTTAGAAAAAAAAACACTTGAAAGCAAAAAATACATTTTTTTATAAAAAAAAATATATTTTAAACAAACAAATTACAAAGCGATTTTTAAAAACTTGATATCGTCGCCAAGGATACTAGAAAACTTATTCTTTCTTAAATCCAAACATTGCTCCTTTTAATTGATACCCATATTGTTGTTCTACAACGCACCGAATCTTTTGAATAATTTTTTTATTCAATCATATTCTAGAAATTTGAAAATCCTTTCAAAAAAATCCTGACGTCAGAGAGAAAAACTAATAACGATGTTAATTATAAGTAAGTAAATATTGGCGAGGAATATATTTCTACAGTATTCTTCATGTACTATATATAACAATTTCAGAATGAATTTCCAGTGTCCCAATAAAAATTTCAAAATTGGAATTTTTGTTTTGCAAATCATCGTCATTTTATAATCAATGTAATTTTTTTTTATTTGGTTTGTTTTGGCAAGAAGAACATTTTCACCACTTATAAAAGCGCTGCCAACGCTCACAATAGTGGTCGTTAGTCGCTCGTCTTTTTCTTCCGTCCTTCGCATTTCTTCGATGGCGGTGATGTCAGCTTTTGTCTCCAGGAGCGCCTCAATTAGTCGAGCAGAAATTGCTCATAAAAAATCGAGGTATGCCAAGTATGTAGTAGTATTTCAAACATTTGCCGTGGTCGTAATCACAAGTAGTGGATCTCATGCAAGGCTTCCGTGATATGATTCATTATTTTCGAAGCCATTATGATTTCAAAAGCGGAATGCTTGTTTCAAGATAAAATCACATTTACGCCCGAACCTCCCGTCGAAAGGAACGTTGCAGAGTTCAGACAGATTCTTAAGGCGAAAATGTGGTTAATACTCTTCCTTCTGAAATATCCGATCACATTTTATTTTTATAACCGTATGTAGTAAATCTAAATTATTTCAACGAAAGTTACTCTTGCCGTTTAATAAGGCAAAATTCTATATTAAAAATATTTGTTTTTTTTCTTTAAATCAGTGAGTTAAATAAAATCAACTGATATATTTTATTGCGCAAATGTTAGTTTCTTTGTTCTAAATTAGTTAGCAAACAAAAACAAGTCACTTTTGTATTTCACAGAATTGTTCGCGCTCATTCTGAGCTACACAGTACTGAGCGAACGTTTTTGAGTTCATTTTGTTGTATATACACTCGTAAAATTAGTTCAGCTGTATTTGAGTACAGTCCGGACTAATAAATGTCTAGTTTGATTTCATGACAATAAAATATGTAAAATCTTAGAAAACACCTCCCAAGCGCTATAGTTGTAAGGTGAAAAATTACACAGCTAAGCACAAACTTACTTAACCTTTTTAAAGAATCATTCTAACTCAAACAAATTTCTTATGCACCGTATGCACTAGAAAATACTCTTTGTGATTTGTTATTGCTGATTCGTTCGTTATTTATCCACTTATTTGCAAAGCTGTTTCTCACCAAACAATTGGGACTCGAACAAAAGCATTATGGATTTATGAAAAGTCACCCACATGATTCCAAAAGGCAAAGGAAAATACTATCCGCCAGCAATTGTTTACCTAATGAAACGGGGACACATTTGTGTGGAACCTCAACACAACGTGCTCCCAAAGCTACATGCATATACATAAGTAAAATCTTTCCGAAATTATCATAAATTTGTACAGCTTTTTCTAAAAATTCTCCTGCTCAACTGTACTAAATATATGGGTCTATAGACGTCTCTGTTTAAAAGCATCAAAAACAAAAAAAAAAAGAAAGTGTGAAGGAAGCAAAGCTGTATTGTATTAAGAGCAGTGAATTGCTACAAGTCTACTCAAATCGTGCTGAGTTGCAACAAATCGATTTTTCGTTCGTGCTACAGAAATCTGCGGAACAATGAACAAAACATTAGTGCTGTGCCCCAGGCCCTAAGGGCCATGCCGGTAACTAAGTTTACCATAATCCGGTACACTTTCAATATTCACTGAATTGAGTGTTCAAGGTTGAGGACAATTCATATTTTTATTCTATCAAAAGAGGCATCCGTTGGAAAGCTCTAAATGAAGGGAATGTCGAGAGCGGTGAGTCACGCACCCCAGGCTCACAGCTTAACATTCGCAAGACAAAAGTCTTTCGTAAGACAATTAACAATTCTGGCAATTATCTTGAAAGCTCTTTATTGTCTTTGAAAGACTAATTGAAAGATCTGCTAACGAGGATGTCTTAAATAGCGCTATGCTGTTCAATTTTAGCAATACGTTTTTTTGAAAATTTAATAAAATTAAAAAATATATATTTTTTTATTTTTAAAACAATAAAAACTCATGAACAAAAGAAAATTAAATAAAAAATAAATAAAATGAACATAAAGCAAAACTAAATAAAAACACTTTTAAAAATTAAATGAAAATAAAAAAAAAACAATTTTTTTCTACAAAAAAAGATAGTACTTCAGAATTAAAAAAAATATATTTTTTTAAACAAAACTAAAAATTAAATAAAATTAAATTAAAAAGGAATAAACAAATTAAGTTAAAAAAATAAAAAATAAATGTTTCAAAAAAGTAAATGAAATTAATATAAAAGAAGAACAAAAATTTTATTAGAAAAAAAAAATATAAGTTCCTGAAAATTAAATGAAATTATAAAAATATTCTTTTTAAAAGAACATTTGAAACTTAAAACAAAGTTATATTAAGGAGGAAAAAAGATTAATAACATAAGATGAGTTTCTAAAAATTAAATTAAATTAAAAAAATTATACATATTTTTTTTCTTTTTACAACAATAAAGCATAAATTTTAAAGAACGTTGAATTAAAAAGGAAACAAATAAAAAAAAGAAAAACAACAATCCGCTGCCCTAGTACATACAAGTGCTTTCTCTCAAAATAGCTTCTCCCCACTAGTGGTGAATGAGAGAGCTTTTTTTCTAAGACTTTTGTGCTAGAATAACAAAAGTCTTTCGAACTATTTTGCCACCTGTCTTTCATTTGTCTTACGAAAGACCTTTTACTATCTTAGCCAGAATTGCCCTGTTAAAAGCCACATTCTACGCCAATTTTGGAACTTTAGTACAGGTATCCCTGAAGTATGAGGCATACCAAGCTATTTCAATGAAAATTATTATTATTTGGCAAAAGTTAAACAACATCCAAAATATAAAGCCTTTGTTTATCACATCATTGCTCGACCGGAGAAATGTAGCAAAGAACTGGCGCCTGTCTTATAATATGTAGTCTAAAATAGCTTACCTCCAACAAAAAAAGTCACACATTCGATGGCAACTAGGCTGCACCGAATGCAATATATAGTATCCAATTTACTTAATAAAAAAAAAAGAATGTTAGGAAATTATAATTTTTATGCTCAGGAACACACAAGGCAGGCAACTTTTTAAAGTCATCAACTCGTTGCCTACTAAAAAGGTCCTCCGATGCAAACTAGCTTATACAAGAATAGTGACGTGACACGCGAATATTCACGAGCATCTGGACAGTCTGGCAAGAGTGAGGGAGAGTAGACGTGAGTGAACTCGTAAGTCACGTGCGCTTCTTTACATCCTACTTTCGCAGGTCCCGCATATAATGCTCAGCACAGGAAAACAAAAAAATTTGGTAGGTATTTTAGAGTACCGGATCCTCGATACACTTGCATCCACTTTTTGTGGATCACGTGGCATCACAAGTTTAACTAATCTAAACCACATGTACATACGTAAATATGAGTATAACAGAATTAAATTTACGTGTAAATAAATATTGGCCTACATTGACGTAATAAAAATCTTCTTTTACACAATCAAATTTACAGCTATGTACATATTAGAGGGCTGCATGAATTCATTCAAAAAAATTCGTGAATTATTAATTTTCAAAACGAATGAATGATTTTGGCTTGAATTTTTTTTAAATTTGAGTGAATACCTGTTCTGATATATGGCAACAACATCACAATACATATTCAAACAAAGTGAAAGTAAACTGAATTGAAATAAATGACAATTTTTTGTATGAATATCCAAAAAATTTTGTCTATGTACATATGTACAAACATGCATATGTATGTACTGCTGCGCACCTAATACAATACGAAAAAATTTGTTTGTAGAAAAAAACTTTAACCAAAATGAGTTTGAATTATTTGAATATTTTTCATTTATTCATTCACATTCTTCCATTTGAAGGTGAAAAATTTAAAACAAAATGTATATTCATAACTTACAAAATTCCATACGCTGAGTGTTTTTATGTGAAGTAAAATATTCAAATGTACTCTGTTTGGCTAGAAGTTTAAATGAATTCATGCAGCCCTCTAGTACATAAACATACATATAACGAAATATTTTTCTAAATTATTCTTAGTCTCAAACTCTTTCACAACTTCCCCAAAGCCAATCTTTTGTTTTCATTCTTAATTTCGCAGTTACGCAGATACTTACTACTACTCTCCTCTCAGCTGTTTAACTGTGTTTAGTAAATATTGACGAGCGTGTCTGTATTTAGTGGCTTCCTCAAGAGATTTGACATATCTTTCATAAATATGGCTTAGCTAATTTGTGTGCATGAGTATATACATACACATACATATGTATGTACATATTTTTGTGATAAATAAATAACTTATTTTCAAAGAGTCTCAATTTCTTGAAAAGCTGTGCAAATAGTTTTAAATAAATATAATAGATATGTATTTATGTATGTATTAAAACAGAAAAGTGCTAACTACTTTTCTCCTAAAAATCCAGTTTTCTACAAAAGCCGCATTAAACTAGTTACAGTCTCTATTTAAAAATAGTGTTTTTTTTAAGAAATTCGCTCATAATTGCTGTTGGAAAAAATTAAAAATGGTAGACAGCACCATTCCGCATTAAAGTAACGCTATGTTTGTAACCCATATTTGTATTGTTTTACATGTGCATGTGTATGTATATATTTTTAATGGTCTACGTAGTTAAATTTTCTTATTTTCTTTTTTTCCAGTGCAAGCAATGTGGCAAATCCTTTAAGCGTTCGTCAACTTTATCTACACATCTGCTGATACATAGCGACACACGGCCGTATCCTTGTCAATATTGCGGCAAGCGTTTCCATCAAAAATCGGATATGAAAAAGCACACATACATACACACTGGTGAGTTTAAAAGCCACTATAAAGATTTGAGTGTAACGTGTCAGGTGCTTATGATTTCAAAGATATTTAGCGCCTTGGCCAGCAATTCTCAAATGGTTTATATTACATTTTAAGAAAATAACTTTACAGATTTGGCGCCCGCGTTTGCCTCAGCAATGTTAGCGAAATGAAATCAAATTTTAGAGTATCTTTTTTTCTGCAATTCACCCCACAAAATCCCTTCAGTGTTACTTGAACATATGGGCTGTAAAATTTATTGCACACAACTCGCCTTATCGTCGCTTGCCATCGGTCATTAGTTGTGAAACAATCTGTTTGATTGGGTGGACAATTGTCTGAACAGGGTGTTTGTGTAAGAACAATTACTACTACTTACTTTCTGAAAATTCTCACAGCTCCTCGAGGGGTTAAATTTTCACAGGGAAAAGTAAGCTCTACTTTCTACTACCCTTTACAAAGTTTCAAATTTGACTCTTTGGCAGCAAATAATACATACATTCTTTTTTCTCTTGCTGTTTCTACCGCCCTTATCAATTTGAGATTCGCACAAAAAACACCATTTTCTCCTCTTCAATTTATTTAACCCTTTCAAGACTGAGGCATATGCATATGTAAAACACTACAGTTTTAATAAAAAATAAGTAACTTTTTCAATAAATTTTTTTATAAAAAAAAATAATTTTAATGAAAAATATCTCTTTTAGCTTTTTGGCACTATTTTTTCTTAATTTTGGTAAAATTAGCAAATTCGGAAATAAGTAAGTGAAAAATCCTCCTGAGAATTTTCGTTTGATATTTTTTTTTTAAATGTTAAATTAATATTAGTAAATAGCTTCATCATATTTTAATTGAAATCAAATTATAATCGGATTAAAATATTTTTAGGCTTTCTTGTCCGATTTCAAACAATAGGCGCTTAAAAAATCATAGCAATCAAAGCAAAGCCCCTAACAATTCAAAAAATTCAATAAAAAAAAATTCCTCACAACTTCAGTTATGCTTTAAAAAGCATACATATGTAAGTCCCTTCGCCTTCATAGTTGCATTAAAAAAATAACACACCTTGTAAAATTGCACTATTGCACTTAAAAAGTCAGCTCGGGCGGCCACTCTCAACTTAGTTGTGTGAAAACGCGAGTCACGTGTCACTCAAGCGTACAATAATGTCGACACTTTGCTAACAATTAAATCACTCGGCCATGCATATGCGACTGTATACAGGTACAAACCAACATACATACGCCGCTGTTATCTGATTTAATTTTACTAATTGCGTGATTTTGTTACACAAGCGTGTAAAATCATTTGTTGCAACGGCTACCCTACAAAGGGTTAAAGGATATTCCTTTCCATACTATCTGCCTTCAATGGAAACTCGACAAAGTGATTAATATTTTTAATTGCTCCACCATTAAAGCTCCACCCCCTCCCCTGTGTAGCTCACGCCACCTGCCTATTTTTATTATTTTGTTTATACCTACGAAAAACCCGCATTAACAATGAACTTTCTAACTTTTATTCCTCAGTCTTTATAGCGCACTCGATAAGACCGTATTGAAAAGTAAACAAATTCTGTTAGTTTTATTCGACATTTTTTTAATAATAAATTTATAAATTTGCGCGTTGTACCTACCGAAATGGAAGCGAACAGTAATACAAATTTATTATAATAACAATTCCAACTAAAAACGGGCTGTATAAAGAAAATAATAGCCAATTTTGATTTCGCGTTTAATGATTTATTCGTTTATGCGCTTTTCTAACCGATGCGAAATATAAAAAAAAAAGATTTGAAAACGAATTCGAGTCAATACACTCTTCAATTTCAACGCGTATTGAAATTTTGTTTATGCATCTGTTTTGAATCACACCGAACCGATCATAAAAACTTGATTTTCATATCTTCTCTCGTAATGAACTTATTGATTAATTCGTTGTTTCTACTTTCGTTTCCTTTTTTTCATTTTAGGTGAAAAGCCACATAAATGCACCGTTTGCCTGAAAGCTTTCAGCCAAAGCTCTAATCTCATCACGCACATGCGCAAACACACCGGCTATAAGCCTTTCGGCTGCGGTCTCTGCGATCAGTCGTTTCAACGCAAAGTGGATCTGCGTCGTCATCGCGAATCTCGGCACGAGGAAATTTTGGCGCCTGTAAAGATGGAGGTGAGCAGCAGTAGCTGCTGAAGACACGCGTACGGGTCGGAAGAGGCCCTAAGCTGCATAAAGACTGGTAGTTTGTTGATCGTACCGGCGCACAAATATCCGTTATGGATTGGCTAAATGTGTGTGGTAAAGTTTGTGTTGTAAGAACCCAGATACAAAGTAATGTAGATATTTATTACAGCATATAATATTTATTTATAAAAGAGTATTTATACTGAAAAATAAGTAAGTAGTTAAAGGTAATTAGTTTAAGTTAATCTACGCCCAGTACGCATTGTGTGGTTCCAGTTGGTCTGCTGAGATACTAAGTCGTTTAAGCCAAAGTTTTCTACACACAAATATACATACAGGATATGTTTGCATGTATAGTAAATATGTAGTTGTTAAGCAAATAGCATTTAAGCATTAGTCCGATGAAATTTTCATAAACCAGTGACTGTGTGTTGGTGTGCGCTTTTTTTATAGGCATGCAAATGTTACAAAGCCTTTGATTTTCTAACTTTCTTAGTATTGCCTATAAGATCTTAGTTTTAGTTAGTTAGGAATAAAATTTTAAACGAAAGTTAATACAAATTTCATAAATAGTAATTTCCACCCATTAAACACACGAATATGTATTAGGGCTGGTCAATTTGTATGGGAGATTTTTTCGACTATGCACAGAACGATTCAACGTGGAGTTCTAAGCAAAATTTGGCGAAAAACCTTGTGACTAAAATCAATTTGGAGTTTGCCAAATTGCGAAAATAGGTTTCATCGCATCTTTCTGTAGTGTCGTAAAAAAGTGCTTAAATTTTCTAAAAAAAAAAACATACCATAGGGGATTAATGTCGTATCGTTTTCTTAAAACCTCCCCCAGAATGCGCAACAGTGCAAATTTTCACATTTTCTTCGAAGCCTATTTTCGCAATTCGGCAAACTCCAAGTCGATTTCAGACACATGGTTTCTTCGGAAAATTCGCTTAGAATTACACGTCCAATCCTTCTTGCTATAAGCGCATAGTAAAAAAAAAGTTTACCCGCCCTAACGAATATGTACATATGTACGTATTTTTGCTCATTTATTGTTGCTCAAATATTTATTGGAATTTCATGTATTGCCACTAGTTATAGCTGTAAATACACTTTTTTCACAATTTGGTCTTTCCAGAAACCTTTCGGCCTTTTTAAATTATGTAAATTGTAAAATTAATGTTAAAACAAAATTTTGTTAGTTACACCACAGCTAAATAAACCAAAGAATGTATTTAATTTTTTAAGTTGGAGTAAAGAATTTTCCCAAAAATGTCTAGAATTTCAAATTTTTATCAATTAAATACCAATTTGATAAACTTTTTAAGAATTTATTTGCTAAAATAGATTTAGTAGTATGTTTTATTATATTTAATTTTTATTAATTTAATATAAGGCATTAACTTTGTCATATTTAAAACGTATTTATTTTATTAAACTGCTTGAAAAAAATAAATATTTCAAAAATAAAAAATTCTTTTATTTACATAACTGTAAAATTGTTTGGGACAGCGTCAATTACACTTTTTTAATGTTTCTAAAAAGCTTTCCTGTCGAGCCTTCACAACAAGCTTTTCAGGCTTTCAACGCTTTATTCAGCTATAAGGTTGCAAACAGAGTTGAAGCGAAGCGGAAGCTGAAGCTGAAACAGGGCTGGCAGACGTTTACAGTTTAAAATCCGTACACGGACAAGTTGTACAATTGGTACGCTCAAATTTGTTTGGCGAGTAAAAAAAAATCGTTTGAACTTAGGTGAACACAGGAATCGTACTTTTTATAATATCAACTAAAGCAACACATTTCCACTAGTCTTATTTATTGATAGCTTCATAGACAACCTTATTATTTTTCGGACTAGAACTATTTAACAAGCAGTGTGTTCTTAGTTTATTGTACTAAAACTTTTCAGGTAGGTTGTCGACTATACCGAGTAACAGTGTAATGTTTGAAGCGATGGTTAAAGTTGAAAAAATAAAGAAATTTTGTTTTTTTTTTTAGTTTTACGCGACAAAACCTCCCAGCAAACGAAGTCTACCAATAGATTGTTATACATAATTTTAAAGGCCTATAAATCGTCTACTCCTGTTTGATTTTTAAAATCGGGTAAAAAATAGTCGAGCTGTTAGTAGATAAGTCCCTCAAGTACGAAAATAAGGCATTTTTTTAATAAAAAAATAGAGGATTCAGGAACTATAAGAAACCTATGAGATATGCGTAAAGCAGGCAAATTTTTACAATACGAAAAAGACACTCCGAAAATCCATACAAAATCCGTACATTTTGACGGAAAGCTAAAAATCCGTATGTCGAATCCGTACAACCATTTTCACCCCTGCAAATCCGTACCGTACGGAAAAATCCGTACATCTGGCAGGGCTGAGCTGAAAAGCCGTACAGTATTAAACAAATGAATTTGTATGCTTAGCTTTTTCACTCTGTTTTTAACCTAAGTTTTATATTACGGTCTGAGTGCCGAAAATCACAACGCCCGAAAAGCTTGTTGTGGAGTTTTACTCTTATTTATTTGCTTGAGAGCAGCCACGACCAAAATATATTCCATAGCGGAAGCCTTTTAAAGCTTAAACTCTGCAAAGCGCTCTGGGAAGCGCACAGAGTAAAAGCTCTCTCTGAGCATCACTGATTTGGATGCACACAAAGTAAAAGCTCTTTCTGGCCGTAAATCGGTGTACGTCCATATGAAATCTTTAAAGCACTTTAAGAGGCCGCTCCGTCGGGATATTTTTTGTTCGGGACGGTTTTAGGGTTATGTCTCCAGCCATTAAGAAGAAAACTTTATAACAACTTTCTGAAATACCTACAAATATTAAAACACTATAAATTTCTATTCATTTTAAAAAAGAACCTTTTCAATATGCTTTTCCATCGCCCTGAAAGGTCATTTGAGCCGTATGTAAAAACATGATCTTTTACTTATTTCCTCTCACAATTTTTTTCGTTCAAATCCTTCAGAACGAGTACTTAACTTAATTACCAACAAATTGCATACAAATTGACATTGTGTCAACAGCTCGATCGATCGATCGAGCGAACGTTCCAGTGATCAAACCTGATTTCATCGAAATATGCGTGACTTAATAATTTTCACTATTTTGCGACAATTTTGGCGGCACTACAGAAGCAGCAAATAGTTTTCGGCCGCGGCAATCCTTTGATCTCCGAACACCGAGAATGTCAAATATGCAACTTTGTAAAAGGCCGACAGCATTACAACGACCAAGCAACTAAAAGAAAAAATACACAAAATCCTCCCAAAACACCTTAAAACACTAATGACACCGTAGGCTCCATCTCGACCGCTGCTCAGCGGTAAATTTCCAATTTTTTTTCCGTAGCAAATTACAAATCACACAAAATACGCGCAAAGACAATTTTCGAAATTCGTCAACGGCGACGAACAATTATCGACGTACTTCATTGATTGTCGATCAAGGCGATGCGTTCAAAGTGTTCATCATTAACGATTATAATAATTATATTTAAAAGGATCATAATCATCGATATGCAGCGAAGAGAATTGGTTGTCACATTCCCGCGGTAGGCGCATATGGTACGAAACAAAGGAAGAAAAGCATTCTGTAATCACTTTCCACGTACGCGAATAAATGTGCCAAATAATTTTCGTAAATCTCGTTGGCTGGTTGATTTTTTTTCGTTTTTACATATTTTGGTTTTGCTGCCGAAATCAAGCATTAAAGGACAAGCAACGCAATCCCGCCACACCCCAGCTCCGCTCCGCTGCGGAAATTCCCGAAATTGCTGCTTCGATCACAATCGATCACATAAAGCTTTGTTGTGCCACGATCGTGGATCATTACATTCGACTGGCTAGCCTGACGACTTGGTTGGTGTGCAACAAATTGTTGCAAAGTGAGGGTAGCGTCAATACGGTGATGTGCGTGTATATAAGTAGTGAGAAAAAGTTGCCAAATCAATTTGTGATCCAGCGCATATAAGCGAACAACCTGCTGACTGAAGCCACATTTTTACATGCTGTCAAGGACTTTTCGCGCTGTCTCTTTGAATTCGGCAGCTGACTTGTGGTCTCCGACCGCTCCCCCGTACCTCCGATTGCATTTGCTGAAAGCTACAAAGCCGACAAAGTCCATGGCGGCATGTTGAATGGCATTATTGACATTATCGCCGCCGCCTGAGACGTGACAAAATGCTTTGACGCATCAACGGCACTTGATCTTTTTGTTTTGTTTTGGCAGAATGCGATAGTGTTCTGATTTTTCAAGTTATAAACAATAAAATAAACATCTAAGTTTGGATGTACCATTGCTTGATAAGGATATAAGGATAATTTTTTTACTTAGATCAGAGGTTTTTATTTTCATCCCAATTTCCATATTCTTGCAAGATTAGCAATCTACGTCCAAATCTAGTCATACGGTTGAAATAAAAGTGTTATTTCTGCAAAAGGAGAACGAGCTTAAATTCATTAGATTTATTAAAAAAAAAAATCATAGCAAGTTAAGCCGTAACTTAAATCCACGGATTCGGCCTTCGGATTCGGAAAGCGCCTATGGATATACTATGTCAAGGGCAGTGGCCCAAAGAGGCATAGACCCTACTCACTTCTGGAGGGGCAGTGCTTGAATACTCCGATGAGGTCAAATGTCTGGGGATTACGCTAGATAAGAGACTTAATTGGAACTCCCATCTTGAGAGAACGATTTCTAAATCCACACCAGGGTAGCCAACTCATTTTTGATAATTCCTCGATATCGACAATGAAATTCCTCAATTTTGCCTGAAAGTTCGTAAAATTCCCCACCCATTTGTATTTTGACATATTACTAATCTGTATGTTTATTTTTTTCAGTGTAATTGAGCTATGTATGTATTCATAGACCAAACCAAACTTTTATAAAGTTAGTTAACAAATAAAGGAAAAAATTTACATATAATGTTTACACACATACAGTGGTCGCAAAAAATTTTGTCGCTCCAAATTTTGACAAGTTTTCACATTTATTATACTTCTTTTTGTTATTAATTTGTTTTATTTTTTTTATAAAAATATAATTAATTCTTTAACAAAAACCAAATAAATCCAAATTTCAAACTTTGTGTAATATAACAAAAAAAAATTCTACAAACTTTTGTAAAAATTTC